AGACGTAATTAGTAATTTCCTAGTCATTAATAGTTATTTCTTAGTCCTAAATAATCATTTACAAGGTATAATCAGTCATTTTTAGTCCTAATTATTTGTTTCTACTCCTAGTTACAGTCTTACAGTTCTTTATTGCTTATTATAAATTTGCTAATTCTAATAAGTAATTTTTAATGCCTAATAATTTTTTTTAAATCCTGATTAGTATTTTCTTGGTGCTAATCAGTAATTTGTGCAATAATAAGTAAGTTTCAGTCCTAACCAATTATTTTTAGTCATAATTTTCTAATTTTAATCAGTAATTTTTTGGTCCTAATTAGTAATCGTCTAGTTTACTCAGTTCTTTTCAGTGCTAATTACTAATTTTATAGATTTAATTAATAATTTACAAGTCCTAATCAGTTATTATTAGTCATAATTTTCTAATCTTGATCAGTTATTTTTTTGCTCCTAATTAGTAATCTTCTAGTTTAATCAGTTCATTTCAGTGCTAATTCCTACTTTTCTAGACCTAATAATTAGTAATTTTCTAGTCATTAGCAGTTGCTTCTTGGTCCTAATTAATAATTTACAATTTCTATAATCAGTTATTTTTAGTCTTAATTATTTTTTTCTACTCCCAGTTAGTTATCTCTTTAGTGCTAATTAGTTATTTTTTGTCTTATAAATACTTTTTGTCCAGTCCTAGTCAGTTCTTTTTAGAACTAATTACAAATTTTTTTTAGTCCTAATCAGTTACTTTTACTGCTGACTAATAATTTTCAAATGATCAAAATAAAGCGTGTGAATTATTATCAGAGGTATTTAAAGAAATTCAAAAATAAACAATTTCAATTCTTTTTTTATATAATAAATCGATTATTTCCCGTACAGGCAGATAATGTACTTCAAAAATATCAAGAAGATTCTGAAATCTATCATTAAGATCGCCTGAGGAAGCAAATTTGTATATCGCAAAGTAATCAGACATCTATCTATACAACCTCTCGTTTATCTCTTCTGGATTTTCATGTACAAACCTTGTTTAGACGATTTTAACAAGATTAAATACATACATATGTATGATAATCAAAGAATTCCAACTCGTTCCTTCGCCTTTGCACCCGATTTCAAATTTTTCGCCTCACAATTTTTTTCCTTACAATGTTTTCTACTCTCTAAATTTGAATTAATAAAAAAAGTTTACTACTTTGAATAAGTGGATGACTTTTTGCTTTTGAATTAGTAATAACATTCCATTTTAATTGCGTATACAGGTAACTTGCAAAAAATGCATTTTTTAATTTTTACTCGTTTACTGTTTTTACTAAATTGTTTAAACAATTTTGAACGCAAAAAAATCTAATAAAAAATCTAATTAACACAAAAAATATAAAAAGTAAATAAAAATCAAATATAAAAATCTAATTAACACAAGAAAAATTGCGAGAATTTATTCACGCATAACATTTACCTATACCTACTGTTAATTAAAAATAATTTGCAAAACAGTCTTTTTTTACATTCTGACCTTTTTATTTCTTTACTAAATTATTAAAACAATTATTTATTATTACGACAAAATCAAGAACAATATAGAGATGCAATTTCAGATCCACGACAAATTTTTCACGCTTAACATTTACAGTTAAGTGCAAATAATTTGCAAATAACTATCAAGAAAATTTTGTTTGTAGTTTTATTATTTGATTTTATTTCTGCTCTTATTTTTTTTTTTCTTTTTACTTATTTTCATTATTATTTTCTCTTACATTCTATTAATTTCTCAGTAATTTTTTTCTTTTTATGTTATGAAATTAATAATTAATAAATAATAAATGATAAATAATAAATAATTGTTGATTAAAATTTCTCAATATTGACTCCTGATATGTAATGTATGCAACAGCGATGATATTAATAATAAAAATAATAATAATAATAATAATAATAATAATAATAATAATAATAATAATAATAATAATAATAATAATAATAATTTAAGAGAAATAAAGTACATATTATGGGATAATATCAGAAGACGTTTGATTTATTGGTTCGATTAATCAAAAGAGCATTCCATTTCGTGGAAAATTGACGTTATGATTATAGGAGCAGTTGTCATGTCGTAATAACTGCAAGAAGTCATATATACACATTAATTTTTTTTTTTTTAATAAAAGTTGGCGTGAAAATGGTTCGATTGCGTAAAGAAGTATTATTAATGTTGCATTTATGAGATTATGTACTCGGATATTTATTATTATTATTATTATTATTATTATTATTATTATTATTATTATTATTATTATTATTATTATTATTATTATTATTAAAATTATTATTATTATTATTATTTATATTAATATTCTTTTTATTATTCCTTATTATTATATGTTATTATTTTCAACAATAACTAAAAAAGAAATATTAATTATATTTATTATATTTGTTAATTAACAAATATGAAAAAAAATTGTATATAAATAAATATAAATAAATTATATATAAATAAAATAAAGGGCTTTGAACTCGTGAATTTGAATAAATAAATAATAATTATTATTAGCATTGTAAAAAAGTTATCGACATTATTATTTTTTTTGTTATTATTTATTATTATTATTGCCATGAAGCTTTGCATCAACTCCTTTGATTATCTCAAGTATAACTTATAACTTTCTTGTCGACCGTTACGATCTACTGGCAATGTTAATGACTTTCGTGATTTTTCCTTATTTGGAGTGAAGCTTAGTGTCGTCACTAATCTTTCCTCAACTACTTTTCAGTGTCATGCTTGAATTTTTTTTTCATCACAAATCTTTAAATCTTTTTATTTTTTTTTCTCGATCAATCAATAATTTTTGTACCAAAAAAAAAAAAATTTCTTTAGCAAATACTACGTAATTTGAGTTTAAATAGAAATTATTTTACATATTTGAATAAATGTTTATTTGCATAAAAATTGTACTAAATAAATAAGTATTTACTTCCTATAAGAATTATTTTATCCAAACACTTATTGTGAAACACTTATTGTAAGAATATTTCCCACAATATAATATATAAATATTTCCCATAATATTTATTGGATAATATTAAAATAAAATCCATTATTATTGTTTTTTGTTGCCTATTCCTTTTTGGTTAATTTTTTTTCATTTTTATGTATATTAATTATTTTTTGAAATTTTGTTCAATTTCTTTTCACTTGCTTCTCGAATATAATTTCTAATTTTTCCTTTTATGTCGAGTGAATTTTGACATTTTGGGTATTTCTTTGTTTTGAATTTTTTTCCCTATTAAAGAAAGTCAATTGGTCTAAAAGTTTTAACATTTAGAAAGTGGAGGACCAACGTCGCATTTCTTTTTTTCTTTTTTTTTTGTTATTGTTATTGTTGAAAATAATTTTATGTAAACTCTGAAGAAATAATCTCAGAAAGTGCATGAAACTGAATTTATTGTTGACAGAAGTATTATATACATATTTATTGAGAGAATGTAAAATTGTCTCTCTCTTAAGTCCCGGAAATAATATTGTAACTCTTGGATATGTATATTTTCATGAGTAGTTTGTTTAGGCTGAGTAGTCACTCACTGAAAATTTATATACACGAATGAACTCTTTAAAAAAAGTGAAATTTTGAATTTAAACGACATTCATGATTCTGGACATTTCTGAATTTTATTAAATTTTTTTTTTATTGTTTTGTATTTTTATTCTTTTCTGTATTTTTTGTATAATGTATTTCTTAATGTTTTTCATATTTTTCAGCATTTTTGTATTAATTTTGTATTTTTTTGTACCTTCTATATTTTTTTGTATTTTCTGTATTTTTCGTAGTTTTTGTATTTTCTGTATTATTTTACTTTTTGTATTTTTTCATATTTTCTGTATTTATTTTGTTGGTTTTTTAGTATTTCTGTATTTTTTGTATTCTCTGTATATTTCCTAATTTTTTTATATTTAGATTTTTCTTATTTATTTATTTTTTTTTATTTTCTGTTCTTTATTTTAATTTATTTTTTTATTTTGCATTGTTTTTGAATTTTCATCATTTTCCATATTTTTTTGTATTTATTTTGTCTTTTTTTATTTATAATTTATTTATTTTCTCTATTTTCAAAAAAAAAAAATTTGAAAAAATCTAATAAACATTTTTTTAAAAAAGTTAAAAGCTCTGAAATAAAAATTAAATTTTATTACAATTTTTATAAAAATTACTCAATATTGCAGAATAAATTCCGAATTTTTTGCCTTTTTTCTTTTATTTTTTTTTATTTAAAAAAGTTTCAAGAGTGACACAAAAAAAAAATTATTCTTTCGTCTCTGGGAATCATTCGACTTATATGGTCGAATAATTAAACGTGAATTAAGACTGATTACGAGTGCACGGCTTTCTTTCCTCAACGAGAATATAATTCTCTCGTTGGACTAAATTTCTTCCTCGATAAATTTACAGTCCAAAGTATTACGTCTCGTGAGAAATTTTTTTTCTTCCTTTTTCGATTCACGCGCAATGAAAATAAATTAAAAATCGAAAATTATCTCACTTTTGTTGCACAATCGGTTAATTATATTAAGAGTTGAAAATTTTTTTTTCTCCCCATCGAAATGAAGAAAAATGTGAAGGAGAGTAAAAAAATTAATTAGTACTAATTATATTTGTATTATGAAAAGGCGAAAAATTAGTGTTTAAATATTTTTTCGTTTAAAATTTAATTACTGCGAACTAAAGAATTTTTCTGTAGGTTACGAAAAAGAAATACCTACGAAAAGTATTTTATAAAAATTTTAATTTAATTAGTGGTTAATTTTTTTTTTGTGGGGAATTTAATTAGTGGGAAATATTTTCTGATTAACTATTTTTCTGATTAAATATTTTTCTCTTTTTAAATTTGTGATTAAATTTTTTTGTGATGAAATGATTTTCTTGTTAAATTTAAAATTGTGATTAAATACCTATGTTTTTTGTTAAATTTGAAAATTGATTAAATTTGTTCCCTATTTTGAATTGCAGGTCAGCTTTGCAGACGTTGCACAAAGTTTCGAGCAAGGCACGAGAGCAAAATTATTTTTTGGGTGGACTGTCACACGATTGGGTCAGTTACTATGAACAACGAATCGAAAGTGATCGCTCGTGCCTCAATGAATGGCATGCCATGGATAATCTCGAGTCTCGAAGACCACCTTCACCGGACAGCGTTCGCAACAAGTGAGTTGTCAATTTAAAAATAATCATCTCTCATTAAAACGTCTCACAAAACAATTCTCTTCAAATTTTTTTTTTCATTTTTTTTTCTTTCGAGAGAGAGATATAATTAAATTTCTGCTCTCTTCTCTAATCTTCTTTTCTCTCTTTCAAAACACACAACTTGTCTTTTGAAATTAAGGTCTGCGTCATTTTTATCGAAGTGGAACGATTTGGATTTATTCTCGTATTTCAAATGGCTTCTTTGTCGCGGTTTAAGATGAAAAAATGAGGGACAATTTTTGAAAAAATAAATATTTGGTATTAGATCTGGAAAACAATTTTTAATTGTTTTTTTTAACTGATCCTTGTTTTCTTGTGAGGTTCTTTTTTTAATTTTTATTCAAGCGCACGAGGGAAGTTGTTGAAAAATTGGCTCGACGCCATTTACCCATTTGTCGAGTCAAGGTTTTTTTTTCTTCTCTTTTTATAATTCTCACGAATAATAATTCAGTCCTTCAATTTTCAATTTTTCCTTCTTTAAAATTTATTTCGTCTCCGCAAATATTCTATTTGAGAAGTGAAAATTTATTTTGCAATTTACAAAACGGAAAAAATGTTTTTTCAAAAATTTTTCCACTCGAGAAAATTTTTGCAAAAAAAAAAATTGTCAGGATTTTATTTATTTATTTTTCTTTTCTTTCTTTTTTGACTATTTTAATTTTTGAGGCAATTTTTATTAATAACTTTCAATTTTCCAGACCGAGGGAGAGGGAAGAGACGGAACGTGTGATTCGATCGACATTAAAGGAGATCATGATGTCTGTTGATCTCGACGAAGTTACGTCAAAGTACATCAGAGGACGTCTTGAGGAAGATCTCGATATGGATTTAGGAGAATTTAAACCTTTCATCGATCAGGAGATGCTCACAATTCTAGGTCAAATGGATTCTCCAACCGAGATATTTGATCACGTTTACTTGGGAAGCGAATGGAATGCGAGTAATCTCGAGGAATTGCAGAAAAATGGGTAAAAACGAATTATATTCTTACTAGTAGAAAAGAAGTAAATTAATTATTGTATTTTTAATTATTAAATTATATTTTTTTTCTAGACGAATTTCTTTTTCTACACGAATTGCTTTTTTAAATGATTTTCTTTTCGAATTGTTTCTTTTTCTAAATGAGTTATTTTTTTCTGAACAAATTTTTCTTCTGAATGATTTTTTTCCTAAATGAATTCTTTTTTCTAAACGAATTTCTCTTCTGAATGATTTTTCTTTCTAAATGAATTCCTTTTTCTAAACGAATTTATTTTCGAAAGGAATTTTTTTTCTTAAGGGAGTTTTTTTTCGAAATGAATTCTTGTTTCTAAATTAGTTTTTCTCTAAATGATTTTATTTCTAAACGAATTCTATTTTTTGCAGCGTGAGACACATATTGAATGTGACAAGAGAAATAGACAACTTCTTTCCGGGAATGTTCAATTATTTGAATGTTCGTGTTTACGATGATGAGCAAACGGATTTATTGAAACATTGGGACGATACATTTAAGTATATAACCAAAGCAAAGAAAGAGGGTTCAAAAGTGTTGGTGCACTGTAAAATGGGTGTGTCAAGATCGGCGTCAGTTGTCATTGCGTACGCGATGAAAGCTTATAATTGGGACTTCTCACAGGCGTGGAAGCACGTCAAGGATAAGAGAAATTGTATAAAGCCTAATAACAGTTTTATTCTTCAACTTGAAACTTATCAAGGAATTCTCGACGCGATGAAAAATAAAGAGAAACTACAGAGATCCAAGTCTGATACTAATCTAAAATCGCCAACATTGGCCAAGGAACAAACCAAGAAGGAGCAAAAGGTAAATTCAATCGATCTGACCGAATCCTCTGGTGTTGAACTGAAAAATAAAGGTCAGAGACCAAAGAGCTGGTCCCCAAATTTTGAGGCTGCCGAGAACATCATACCGGCTGGTGAGAGATTGTGAAATTTTATGAGAGAAAAAAATAATGTTTATAATTTGGTTTTTAATTCTTTGATTTCGTTTTGTATTTGCAGCTCCATTGTCGCAGTCTCTCGAGAGTATTGACAAGACTGGGAATCAGGAAGTCACGCGAGAAGAACTTCTGCGAGGCTCCAATCCAAAGACTGGAGTAGATCAAGAAGCGAGGAACGTCCTCATGCCTTGTGATAATGGACAATCGTACAGCGTCTCACAGAATCAAATTGTCCAATTGACGACTGGTCCCGAGACTCCCAGTGTCAAGCATCGCGTCAGCAAACTCGAGAAGCGCAAAGGCCTGGTGTTGAATTTAACAAATCAATTCGAGGCCGCAACAAGTAAACCCTCGTCCCCGGGTTCTGACACCGATGGCCGAGCCAGCGAAACAAACGAGAAACTTCTCCTCAACGGTTTAGTCGATCAACAAGCACAAAGTCAACACATCCCACAAATAACCGCCGTCGTTCTCAAGAAGGAAGTCTGGGACCCTGGCGACACAAAAGATAGTGAATGTCTAGTCTGGACCGAAACGAACTGTACAGAATTAAACGAAAATTGCAAAGCGAGGAAAAAGAGAGAAGGCGATTTATTCAGCGCTCAATTGGATCGTGTCTTCGATCGTGAGGAGCGACGTGAACCAACCACCAGAGACTCGCCCAGTAGGCAAAGCTCCTGGAGCAGCTACGACAGCGCCGTTGTTCTCGACAATTCCGTTCACAGTTCCTGGGCGACACTACCGTCGAGGAACAGCTCCTGGGGCTCATACGACATGCGTCCCGCCGATCCTCTAGGCTCCAGCGGACTCTTCCCCTACGACAAGGAGGAAATCCCCTGGCATCCCGGAACCGTGAAGCGAACCAAGCAAAAAATCGAAGAAGGCACCGTTAAGCGAGTCTGCACCCAAAACGATCCCGAGGAAAAGGAACGACTCACAAACTCTTCGACAAACGATGCCGAAGAGATCTTCAATCCTGTTCTTTTGCACTACACCCCCTCCCCCACGCCTCGTCGAAGGGATCATCCCTCCCCCACTGCCCCACTCGATCAAAATCCCAACGAACTTCCAATTAATCCACTAAATCCAATTAATCCTCTTAATACACTTAATCCTCTAAATCCTCTTAATTCTCTTAATCCAATTAATCCCCTTAATCCTCTTAATTCTGTTAATACACTTAATCCTCTTAATTCTGTTAATACACTTAATCCTCTGAATTCTGTTAATACACTTAATCCTCTTAATCCAAGAGATCAGTCCCTCCCCCCCTCGAACGCAATCGACATAACTCCGACAAATCTCCGACAAATAAACCGCCTCTCGACCAGTGCACCAGCACCGTCCTCTCTCTCCGACACCGACCTTCCCACCTCCCTTCGCACCTGTCGATCCTGCGAAACCTCCACCCCAAGTCAAGTCGTCAACACACCCCAATGTCCATCCGTCAAACACCATAAAATGGTCCTCGAGAATCTCTCCTCAAAATCGATATTCAACAAACGTTGTTTCTCCGTCGACGACTCACCCGAGGCCATGTCCACCGAATGTCGTAGCATTTCCGGCATCGTCAAGAATCTCAAGAAGGAATTCGAAGCGAAATCATTCACCAAACATGAAAAAAGTCCCGAAACAACAAATTCCGAAATAGAGAACAATGGCAAAAAACGTGACGTTAAAATAAGAAGTCTCCCCTCGTCGCCAATAATTGCGCACAACAAAACATCACCACAGGAGGATTTGTCGGTGAAAGTACTCGTTGGCAAGTATGAAGTGGCAAAACCGGAGATGAAACGAAATTCAGAAATACAAATGAGAAGTAATCGTGAATCAATGGAGATTCATCCGCCGGCAAAATCGAAAATTGCACCGGAATTTGCGAGAAGATCGGCGCCGATTATTATCAATCATAATTCGGGTTCGTCGTTGTTTAGTGAGACGCCAGAGGCGCCGGGCAGGCCACCGATACCCACATCGAGTGTTGTTGTCGCGAGTGTTGTCGCTAAGGCCGCCAGCAAAAAGCAACAGCAATATGGTAGAACTCATCCCTTGGCTAGGTTGCAGGACAGACCTAGGCACAGCAGTCCCGTTTACAATACTATGTAAGAAAATTGGTTTTTTTTTTTTTTTTTTTTTGAAAGAAAAGCGAAAGTAAGCGACGCTTGTTCATTAGATTTGATGTTGAAAATAATTTTTTACTAAAAGGTTATTTATTGCGATTTTCTTTTACCGGACAATTTTCTTTTTAACTAACAGACTGTTTCACTTCTTTATTTTAGCATTCTTTCCCCGAATTTTGCCACTCGCCACTGGTGGGCTGTTTTTTTATTTCTATTTTAAATTGAAATTGACGTCAAATTTAATTTCGAATTTCAATTAACTTTCGTGTCAAATAGATTTTTATTTCTAATTTTTGCCATCCAAAATCAAAATTAGCGAAAATCGGTTATTATTCGCAAAAAAAAAAATTTCTAGAAAAAATAAAATTAATGTTCCTAAAGTTAGCGTCGAGGTTAAGCGTTTTTTGAGATGAAAAAAAATATTTTTCGACGCTGAATTTTGACGACAATTTCAGGTTCTTTTTTTTCCTCTTCAAAGAAAATAGTAATTCGATTTTTAAATTTTAACAGAAGATATTTTTTTGCAAATATTGTCCAAGTTTGAAAGAAAAATTATTTTAGCGTTGTTGAAAGTGAAACAATAAATCAAATAATAAACGATAAATAGAATAGCTGAAAAATAAATTTGTGTATTGAACAAAATATTTTATATCTTAATTTTAAGTTTCTCTTGCTTTTAAATATTTACTGAAAACAAACAGTATAGTCGAGAATTTAGGGCAATTTAAATTATATTAGTTAAAATGAGCTAGGATTTTTTAATTTTTAAAAACGAATTGAAGAGAAGTTTTTGAAAATAAAGTAGAAATTGATTAATTTCGCTAAATATGGTAAAATAAACTTTATTTAACTGCTGAAATTGTTATTTAATCGACGATAGTACAGCAAATGAAGCAAATGAAATGAAATGAAATGAACGTTTATAATTAACGATTTAAGATAAAAATATTCTTTTGAAATTTATATTATCATACATTTTTGACTAAAGAAAATATTTTTAAAATCGTTTTTTCAATTTGCAAAAAAGAAATTAATTATTCTCCGTATGAAAATTATTTTTGACGTTCAAAAAAGAAAAATAATCCAATATTTTTGGAGAAAAAGAAATTATTCTATTTTAATGGTTGGGAAATTTTTGTCTAAAAAGAATATATTTTGCATCGTTTTTAGTGAAAAGTTTAAAGAAATGAAAAAAAAATTGTTCTATTTATTTCAATATTTTTGTCTATAAAGAATCTTTTGCATCGTTTTTTAGTAAGAAGTTTAAAAAATGAAAAAAATTAACATCTTTGGAAAAAAATCGTTGTATTTAAATATTTGTAAATTTTTGTCCAAAAAATGATATCGTTTTTAATGAACAATTGTAACTGGAAAATTGTTATTTTTATTATTTATTTGGAAAATATTTTCAATTATTTAAGAAGATTTATTTTTTCTAAACAATTCAAGAAGAAATATTTATACGTTTTTATCGAAAAAAAATTGTTTTCTCAAAGTTTGGAAGACTAAAATTTGCATTATTTTTCGAAAGAAAAATATTTTCCATTTAAAAAATAAAATTAAAAACAAATTATTTTGATTTTAAAGAAAAACATATTTTTCTACTAAAATATTTGTAAATTTTTGTCAAGAAAATACTTTCTCGCATAATTTCTTGATTTAGAATTTAAAAGAACGGTAATTTTATTGTTTTCCGTTTGAAAAATATTTTCAACTTTTGTAATCAACGAAAAAATATTTTTCTAATCAAATATTTATGAATTTTTGCAAAAAAAAATTTTTTTCGCATAGTTTTTTGGCAAAAAATATTTTTTTACTTAACATTTTTAAAAATTTATTTACAATTAAATTAAAAAGGAAAGAATTTTATTCTCCACCACGTGACAAATCTTTATTTTGCTTCTGAAAATTTATATTTATAAACGTTCCGAACTTTGGTAATTTTAATTTTTATTTCGTATTTCGAAAAAATGAATCAATTGGAGGAAAAATTAATTATAGTTCACTACCTAAATTTATTTTATTCATCCCACTTGTCTAAATGGATAGAAATAAATTACTGCCAGTAGATTGTTTAGAAAAAGAAAAATAAATAATGTTCAGAAACGAATTTTCACTGATAAGCAATTAAATTTTCGCTGAATAGAAAAAAATCTAAGAGTTAATACAAAAGATTTTTTCTTTTATTCAGTTGAAATTTGTTGTTTAACTATGCAAAAAAAAAAAATTTTTTCTATATTTTTTCTATACACAGTTGTATAACTTTTAAAATAATTAATTTGAAATTAATTATCTAAAAGCCAAATAAATTTTTAGCAAATAAATTTTATTTTGTTTGGAAATAAAAATTTTATTTGTGTCAAAAATTTTGAAAAAGAATACTTTTTCAGAAATAAATTAAATTTTACTTGGTTTGGAAAAAACAAAATTTGTGAAAGTGAAATTTCGTTGGCTTCGAATAAAAATTGTATCGTTTCAATTAATTTTTCTTCCAATTGATTTAAATTCTAATTCTTTCACAATTCGGATTTTATCTTCACTGATTAAAATTTTATTTGAGAATATATTTTTTTTCACTGAGAGAACTTAAGAACAAAAAATGAATGAGCGAAGCTTACGAGACGTAATCGAGTGCTTGATATTAAATACAAGTCTCGTTTCGTTACAAAATAAAAAAAGAAAAACCATGTGATCTCCTTAACGCCAATAGTTTAACACTCCTCGAGCCATCGATATTTGCTCGTTCCAAGTGTTTCAAACTTCGTTAAGATTAAAAAAAAAAAAAGAAAAAATAGTTTCCTCCACGAGGAAGCAGAACGAAAAAAGAAAAATTTTCGACAATTGGATTGTAAATGTTTAAGAGATTCTGTACATTACGCAATGAGATTATTTTCTTCTCCTGAGAAAAAAAATTCAACGAAAAATTAGTTTCTTTTCTCTCTCTCTCTCTCTCTCTCTTCTGCTCTTAAATTTCGAGTCAATTTTTTTTCCTCCTGTAGATGAGAAGAGAAAAATTTCTTAATGAAGAAAAGAGAAAATTATCGATCTCGAATTTTATCGATATCGAAAAATGAATGAAATGAAACGAAAAAAAAAATGGTAGAAATAAAATGAAAAAAAAATAAAGTGAAGGAAAGGAAAGGAAGAGAAGAAAAAAGTGAATAAAAGGAAAGAAATGAAGTGAAAATGAAAAGAAATAAAGTGAGTAAAGAAGGTGAAAAAAAATAAAATGAAAAAATAGAATAAAAAGGAGTGTAAAAAAAGAAATGTGTGTGGAAAAAATGATGCTTCGATTTTGTCGAGAGGCGTGTGCTCAGTCAGGCTGTGAATGTAACGTCTGAGCCTCGCACAAGTTTCTGGTCTATATTCATTTTTTTCATTTCTCTGCTTCGTTTTTAAGTCATTCGACACGTTTTTGTCTGTAATTATTTTATTATTATTATTATTTGTCGATGCGATTTATCGAGAAGAAAAATTTAGCGGAAGAGATCTCGAGACAATGTAATGTTTAAGATATTAGTAACTTATAGTGAATAATGTGATTAGACGCACTTATAAGTGCAAATGTGTGCATGACAAAAAAAAATGAATGATGTAGTAAAAAAGAAAAAATTTTCCCGCAATGTTGTATGTATCGGAAAAATCCATTCAGAACAGTCCACATTTCTTATTTTTTTTGAATTCAAAAATAGTAATTAAAAATTATTTTTTCTATTTGTAAACAAAAAATTACTTTTTTTAACTAAAACTCCAGTGACTGTTGTGGTGCTTTTTCCAATTTTTTTTTTTGTAAATTAACTTGTAATTGTACTATTAAATAATAATTGTCAGACATAAAAAATTATGTTCGATACTTTGAACCAGTTTTTTGATACCCGGCGATGTAATATTTAGAATAATGCCTCAAATTAAAATCGTGATTTTAAAAAGCCAAAAGTACAACTAAATAAATACCGGAGGGTGCTAAAGTGCATGAGAAAAAAAAATTGTGAGCCAAGCTACGCGAGTGTTTTTCCTATATTATAACGATTTTCAAAGATATTTTTTAAGACATATCGAACTTTTGTTATAAAAAAAAATATGTATGTGCGTGCATTCTCACGTGTCTCTCGCGTATCAATGAATTTAGTTAGTGAGATAAAGAAAAAAACGAATTACTGAAAAAAAAAATGGTGAAAATGAATAATTTTATGTAAACAAATTTTTGATGACCAATTTTTTACCCTTGGGCGATGCGATTTGCAGATGAAAAAAAATGCAACACTTCGCGTTTTAAGCACACGACAATTATTCTATATATTTTATTACAAGAAAAATAATAATGTGACTTCTCAAACCAAAATAGGCTTTGTATTAGTAAAAAGTAGAACGGACTTTCAAAAAAAAAAAAAAATGTAAACATTGAAAAAATACTTTTTAGATGATCGTCGCCGTTTAGAAATTAATAAAATAACTACTTACTTGTTAAGTAAGACTGGATGATTTTTGGAAAGAGTACCTTGAACGTTTCGTTTTTATTTTGTGATTACTGTTTATTTTTTATTTTTTTTATTGTTTTTTGCAAATAAATTAGCTCTCTTTTTTCTCGTAGTGATTGGAATAAATTTTTTTTTCTCTCGTAGTGTTTTAAAGAAAAAAAATTAAAAACGAGACGAGTCGTACTCTTTTCTTTCACCGAGTCGGATTAGTTTTACTAGTAAGTCAAGTAAGTTTTCTTTTTTTTTTGTATTATTGCGAATCGATGTGCTCATTTTTTTATTATAGTAATTTTTCTCCATCCTCCATGTACCATCCGCTTAAATGTGTGTGCGTTTCAAACGAGATGAGAAGCTGTTGTCATATGAGGTACGAAGTAAATAAAAGAAAAACCATGCGTTGTTCTGTATAAATTTTGTACCATAGTTTGTATTAAATAAAATTGTTTATTGCTTGTCAAGAAAATTTTTTCTCGTCTTCTAATTTATAATTTTTTCATTCACAATCTTCATCTTAAATTATTGTATTATTTAATAGTGAAAAAATAGTTTTTAGTATTAAAATTAATTCTTGCAAATTTTTTTATGATAGTAAGACATTATTGAGTCAATTTTTTATACTTTATCTATTTTTTATAAATTCTTGTCATTAGGTTACTAAATTAATTGTTTATTATTATTATTATTATTATTATTATTGATTATTTATTATTACAATAAATTATTATTCTTATTATTATTCTTAGTAGTAAAATCATTTTTCGTATTTTAGTGGTCAAAGCCTATTTTAGTAAGACAAAGTTTTTTTTATTCTTATTTATTAATTCAGTAGTAAAGTCTATTGTAATCAGAAAATAATCTAAAGGAATAAATTTTAGTGGATAAAGACTGTTTTAGTCAGACAATATTTTCTACAAATAATCGATAGTAGTAAAAGTATATTATTTCAGACAAATATTTTTAGGATTGAGAATATTTGGAAATACTTTTTAAAATGAGTAGTAAAAAGAAGATCAAATAAACTATTGTGAATAAATTATTGAACATTGTAAAAAATAGTACTAACTTGAGAAATAATTTTCAAAAAAAAAAAATTGAAAAAAAACTCAAGCGAAACTTTTTTTTCAAAAATATGTTTCAGTAGTAAAAAATAAATTTAGTCAGGCCATGAATTAGTTCAGACATGAATCATTAAAAATAAATTTCAGTATCAAGGAAAAACTCTACTCAGAAAAATTTATATTTTTTAATCCAAATTCAGTGGTAAAAAGTGAATATAGTCAGACAAATGATTTTGAAAACGGGTTTCAGTAGTAAAAAGCATATTCGGTCAGACAAGAGTTATTACGAATAAATAGTAGTACTTAAATAATATTTTTCGGGAAGGAAATATTTTCCTAAACAGAATTACTAAAAAAAATAAGTAGTAAAACCGTATTTAGAGAAACGAAATTTTGGAAATATATTCAGTAGTACAAGCCGTATTCAGTCAGACGAGAGTTATTATGAATAAATATAAGTAGTATAGAAAAATATTAATCAAATTAGTTTCCAAACAGTAATAGAAAAAAATAAGTAGTATAAAGCGTATTAGTCAGACAGAAGTTAATACAAATCAATATTAGTAGTAATGCAAATATTTAGTCAAACAAAATTTCTCACAAATACATTTCAGTAGTGAATGAAAAATTGAATTAAGCCGAAGTTGTTATCAAATGTAATTTGATTATAATTTTGATAATTTATTTACTTATTTCAAAATTGTTTATGTTGGTTCTAATTCATAAACAGTTTTTCCGCTACAAAATGCAATTTTTGGTAGTTGATTCGATTTTATCTTCTTTCCGGACAATGGACCAATATCTATTGAATAAACTCCACCGGATAAATTCCTTACTCCACTTACAGTCTGTATGATAGGTAAATTTTCATGAATTTCAAAATTATTAATTAAGTTCTATAATATTTCGAATTAATTAGTTGCTTTTAATTAATATTCTTAATTTCCCTAAGCTATTTTTAATTTTATTTTCTATTCTTGTTTTTTTTTTATTTTTAGTTATAATACTCTGCTTTCAGTTCTATTTTTAGTTGTTTAGTTTAGTCATTTTTTTATGCTAAAATATTTGAATTGATATAATTTAAATTGACACTAAAATATATGATTTATTATATTATATAATTATATTAAATATAAATAAACTATATTAAAAATGTTTTTAAATTTTACCGAATGAATTTGCCGATCAACGATTCTTAAATAATTAGAATCGGAGCCACCACAAACATAATATTTACTGTTTATAAATTTTCCAGCGTATAGAAAACTTTCAAATGCATCTGGTTGCAAATTGTCAATAAGCTTTCCAGACGAATAATCCCATAATTGAAGAGGATTCCTTTCCTGCCAGGAGCAAGTTAATATCTGCAAAAAAAATAAAAAATAAATTCATATAAAAATACTCTTATATTATACTACCGCTTGAAAATATTTAATTTTTATTTACAGAAAAAAGGTCGAAAACAAAATAAAACCTCTTTTCCATCAAGACTAATGTCAATTCCTTCACCACAAATATGAACAGCTCCAATATAACGGAGAGAAAATGGTTGCCTTAAATCCCAAAATTGAATGGTATCGTCCCATCCACCACTGACGAGTTCATAATTTGAGGTGGGATTAAAACAGGCAGCAAACACTCGGGACTGATGACCGTTCATAAATTCCGGCGAACCGCTTAAAAAAAATTAAGATTTTTATTTAATTTTACTAATTTTATTTTTTTAATGTAGTTATTAAATTAATTTTTTTTATTTAATTTAATTTTTTTAATTTTATTAAATTTATTTCAGATCTTTATAATAAATACTACTGAATAGATTATTTATGTCTAATTAATGAATTGATTTTAAATTAACGAAATTTAATTATGTTTTAATTCAAATTAAATTAAAAAAAGAAATTTAAAATTAAAAAAAACTTTAATTAAATAATTTCTTGATTAATAAACCAATTTTTTAATTAGTATAAATTAATATTAAGTCTGGAAAGTAATTTTCAAAACATTAAACTAATTTTAATAATAGGAAAAGTAATTTTAATTTTTAAAGTAATTTTTAACTTAGTAAACTAATTTTTAAATTATATAAATTAGTTTCTATTCTGAAAGTAATTTTTCTAATTAGAAAAAGGAATGTTTAATATAAAAATAAACTAATTTTCAAAGTAGAAAACTAATTTTAATAAAAGGAAAAGTAATTCTGAACTTTGTAAACTAATTTCTATATACAGTAAATTTATTTTCGAAACAGTAGGTTACTAATTTTTAAAGTTAAGAAAGTAATTTTTAATTTTTAACTAATTTTTCAATTTGTAAACGAGGTTTCAAGTTGGAGAAATAATTTTTAAATATAGTAAACTAATTTTCAAAATAGAAAACTACTTTTATAATAAAAATGGAAATTATTAACTTAGAAAACTAATTTTTAATAAGTAAACTAGTTTTTAATAAGTAATAGCTATTTTTTATGTTAGAATGTTAATTTTCAAATTAGTAAACTAGATATAAAAAAAAATTTTTAAAAATTTAATAAAATAAATTTTTACAAAAAATGAAAGAAGGTAAATAATAAATAGAATCTTAAATACCTAGCTAAATTAAAAATGGGAATTTGAATATAAGAAAAAAAATTTTGTAGTCAATAATGCACACCTAGATTGAAAAATTCTTTCCTGTGTTTTCGTTTCTTCGTCGTATAGAATAACTTTCGTGTCATCGCCCACTGTGACGAATTTCGGTAAATGCGGATGATAGGCTAAACCAAGAGCTTGTCGATTTTCTCTAATTGTATAAAGACACTTTCCCGTTGGATAATGCCAGCATTTAACGCAACCACTGCAATCTAAATATTACAAATAAATTTTCATAGTCAACAATTTTATTAACAAACTATAAATATAGTTTAGAGAAAAAATATACTATTATAACTTCTTTTCTATACTGAATATTATTTTTGAAAATATTTTGTTTGACTATAATTCAAATTTTACTACTGAATTGTAAATAAGAAATTTTTTTTTACTATATTTTTTTATATATTTTTTTTACTACTGAGTACAGTGAAAAGAGTGGTCTGACTAAGAATGATTTTTACTACTGGATTTTATTTGAAAAACTTTATGTCTGACTAAAATTGTGTTTTACTACTTAATTTGATTAATTTATTGATTTATCGACCAAAATCCGTCTGACTATATTTTTCCTTTACTACTGAAGTTAAAGGTACTGCATTAATACTTTGGTTAAAATTATATATATATATATATATATATATGAAAAAAATTCTTCTTAGATAATATTTGTTTTTTATTACTAATTCAAATCCTTAAAACGTTTGTCTGACTAATTACGAACTTTACTACTGAATTACATTAAATCAAATTGTCTGACTAAATTTTTTTTTACTACTGGATTCTGTTTGTAGTGACTATACTGTCTAAAGTAAACATGATTTGACTACCGAATGAATAAATAATAAATAAAAAGACTTATGTCTGACTGATTTATTTCTTTTGACTATTGTCTGACTAAAAATGATTCCACTACTGAATTAATAAATATTAAATAAAAAAAATTTTTCTGACTAAAATAGTTTTAGAACACTAAAATATATTCCTTTGGACTTTTGTCTGAGTAAAAGTAGTTTCACCACTGAATTAATAAATCATAAATAAAAAAATCTTTTGTCTGACTAAAATATAATTTTTGAACTTTTTTGAAATTTTTGAAATTTTTTCCTTTAGATTATTGGCTGACTAAAAATGGATTTACTACTGAACTACTAAATAAAAAATAAAAAAAATGTTGTCTAAATTAATATGTTTTTATTACTATGAGATATTTGTAGAAACTTTTGTCTGACTAAAATCGTCTTTGATCACTAAAATTAACTCGTTTAGACTATTGTCCGACTAAAAATGATTTTACTACTGAATATTTATCAAAACTTACACGTTGAAATAAGAGTTTGAGTAACTGGATGACTTCTTTTTACAGGTCTATGTTTAATGGCAGTTACGGGACTAGCGTATTGAATAGTTTCATCGTCCTGAATAGTCGCAATTGTTTCTCCAGTCTTCAAGCTAAACAATCTAATGGCACCATTTACAAGTCCCGCGGCCAACAATTGATGGTTTTCGGTATAAGCGATGCACAGTATCTCCTTTATTTCGTGGCTAAAAAGAATTATTATTTTTATATTTTATTACAATTTTCTATAATTACATTTTTTATCAATAAAATAATAATAAAATTACTATTTACATAATTATCATTTTTAAATTCAATTTAATATTCTGTATTGTTTATGGTATTATTATTAAATATATTAAATTAGTTCAATATTATATATTGTATAAGTTCAATACTTTTTAAATTTGCTTACTATTGAATATTAAATTATTTAAATAGTTTATGTTTATTATTCTTAATTTTAACAATAAACGAGTTTTGAAGAAAGAAAAGTAATTAAAAAAAGTTATTTAGCTATTTTTTGGAAATTTTTTCAATTCGAGAAGATTTTCGTTTACTAAAAAAATATTACAATTCGTTTACTATGCGAATATCTCCGTCTACTATTAAACCTTCATTAGCTGTCGAATTTTGTTCCTTTTCCTCCGAAGTACTGGCTTTTTGTAAATAAGCAAATGTTCTCGTAAGATCCGAACTTGCTCGTCGTTGATTTGTTTCATTTACTATTTTTTCACTCTTTTCATTAGATTCTACACTTTTATTTTCATCTTCCATAATTTTTTTTCACTCAACGTAGTTAATGTTTTTTTTTAAATAAAAAACTTTAAAAAAGTTTTTTTTTTTAAATAACTTTTTTTTTATTTAGTAAAATTTAGAAAAACCGACTATTAAAAAAAATAGAAGAACAAAGTTTAAATTTTGTAAAAATATAAAAATTTTAAAAGAAAACAGATTTAAATTACTTGCCTTGATTTATAAATTTAGAACACAACAGAGTTTACATTTTTATTTTTTAAATTTTGAAAAATTGATCATTTTTACAATAGACAATAATCGAAATGAATTTTAATGTAAAAAATCTTCTCTGTAAGTAATTTCATGGTGAATTTTAGTTAAATAATTTATTTTATTTTAATTTTTACGTATTTTTTAGATTGTAAATTTTGAATTTAAATTACTTTGACAAACTAAAAATAAGGTTAAAATTTTGACAATACGAAATGATACGAAATTTGTCTCAAATCGAAACATTTGAAAAAGTCCTAAGTTGCATTGATTATTGAGAAAAAAAACTGTAGACAGTTCCAAGGAAACTGCAAAGATGTCTCTACTTTGACGTTTCTAAGTGAAAAAGCTATTTAAAATTTTAATAACTCGTACGGAATTTTTAATTTAGAAATAAAGGAAAAAATCAAAAATATTATTTGATGGAATTTATAATAAGAAGAAAATTTTGACCAAAAAAATGCCAAATTCAGCCAGACTAAATAATTTATAACTAAATTTAGTAAATTTACCAACTTTCAGTAGGAGAAAGCATATTTAGTCAGACATATAATTTATTAGAAATTTAATTTAGTAGTAAACAAAAGCTGTGGAAAATATAATTCTTTAATTTAATTCGTTATTTATAATTAAATATAATTTTTAAATAGTTTTCAGTAGTAATGGACTATTTTAGTCAGACAAAATTGATGAACAAATTAATTTCAGTAGTAAAAGTTTGATTCAGACAGACACAATTTTTTCGAATTTTATTTCAGTGTTAAATTACAATTTCAGGGAAACAAACATTTAAGATATTAAATATCATTAGTTAAAAACAAAATTATAACAGACAAAACATTTCAAATAAGAAATTTCAATAGTATAAGACTATTATTGGTAGAAAAAAATAAAATAAATCCTGACAATTGTTCTGGAAATAATTTTTCGCAGTAAAAAACAGAATTCAGTCTAATAATTGTTTTGCCATTAATTTTTAGTAGTAAAAAACAAATATAGTCAGACAAAATATGTATTTAGAAATTTTAAACAATAAAAAACAGATTTAGTCATTGATTACAGTAGTACTTGTAAAATATGAATTTAATCCGACAAATCGTTTTGCAAATAAATTTCAGTAGTAAAAGATACATTTAGTCAGACACAACAATTAGCTAACATTTTTTCAATTTTTTTAATTCAGTAGTAAAAACAGTATTTAAGTAAGAAATATACACAAATTTTAGTAGTAAATGCCAGATTTGATCATATTAAATACTTTTTGAATCGAAATTAGGAATAAAAAAACAATTTCAGTAGTAAAACCTTTCGGTTTCAGTAGTATAAGAAAAATTTAGTCAGACGCAACTGAAATCAACTTTAAAGTGAGTAATACTTTTGAACAATGTTTTTTTGAAATAGAAAATCAGTAGAAAAAAGATTTAATAAAAAAGAACCTCAATGAATGATTTTTTTAATAGGTTTTAGTAGTAAAAGCTTAACTAAGCCAGATATCAACTTTTCAAAATTGATTTACGTAGGAAAAAAAAGATTTAGTCAGGGAACAAGTTTAGTTTCAAAATTAGAATTTAGTTGTAAAAATTAAATTCAGTCAAACAAAAATTTTTCCTAGTAGTTTTCAGTAGTAAAGATAAAATTTTATAAATTTAGTCAAACAAATATTTTTCTTTCCAGTTTTCAATAGTAAAGATAACATTTTTTCGGACAACAAATTTTAGAAATTAATTTCAGTAGTATAAGAGAGATTTAGTCAGACGCAACTTTATTTAATTTTTCAAACTAAACAATACATTTTGACAACGATTTTTGGTGTTAGAACATCAGTAGTAAAATATACGTTTAGTCAGACAAAATTAAAAAAAATGTTTAGAAAATAAATTTCAGTAGTAAAAGCTTACAGAAAATAATTGTCGTTAGATTACAAAATTAGTAGTAAAACATATTTTCAGTCAGACAATATTTTTTGTGCTTTTTTATAATCATTAAGAAAATTAAAATTGTTGACGTTGACAAAAGGTTAGAAAAAATATTGTTCAGTAGTAATAACCCACTTTAGTCAGACAAGTTATACGTATAGAGTTCAGTAGTAAAAGGCAAATGAGTAGTAAAATATATTTTTAGTCAGTCACACCTCAATGAAAGTGTTTGAAAATAAATTTCAGTAGTAAAAGATAAAACGATTTCAAAATATAATTTTCCTTAGATTACAATTTACAAAATTAGTAGTAAAACAAATATTCAGTCAGACAATATTTTTTCTACGTTTTTATAATGGTTAAAAAAATCAAAATTGTTGGCGTAGATAAAAGTGACTAAAAATATAATTCAGTAGTACTTACTTAGTTTAGTCAGACAGGTTTAAAGCAGAAAAAGGCAAATTAAAAGCCAGGCAACCATTTTAAAATTAGATTTCAGTAGTAAAAAGAAGATTTAGTCAGACAACAAGTTTCAAAATTAGAATTCAGTAGTAAAAAGAAAATGCAGTCGTAAAGAATTTTTTATCACAGTGAAATAATTTTCGAAATTATAAAATCAACAGCAACGTTTATTATTTTTAGCAGACAAAATTAAGCAAAAAATTTTTGAAAATAAATTTCAGTAGTAAAAGCTTTGAGTAAATAATTTTCTTTTGATTAATACAAAATTAGTAGTAAAACATATTCTTAGTCAGACAATAGTTTGTTATGCGTTTTTACTATCGTTGACATAATTGTAATTGTTGGCACAGACAAAAGTTATATTATAAATATATTTCAGTAGTAAACATCCAGTTAAGTCAGACATGAAGTTTGTATTAGTTCACTAAGAATAGAAATTTTATTATTATTTAATAATTAATTTATTAATTAATTATTATTTATTTTATTCTATTTAATATTACTACAACTCAGTGAGAATTTTCAGAAAAAAATATCCAATTTCCGAATAAGAAACATAAATTTACTAATTTTTTTAAATTTATCTTTTATATTAATTTTTATTTTTGAGAAAAAGTTTTTCGATATTTTTCACCGGCTAGTCGCTATATACTACTCGGACATAAATTTTGAGTAGACAGAAGCATCGAGAGCAGAAGGTGTTGGTGTGTACACGGCGAGACTCGAAGTGATCTGATATGAAGGATAGCAGCATTGCGGAAATGCTGAAGGTCGTGTCGTATGAGTTGAAATGAATGGGAACAAGAGAGAGAGAGAGAGAGAGACGGGGAGAAAAAAAAGAGAGAAAAAAAGTGAGTTGGGGTGATGCAAAATGCTGACTGGTGGCATCCCGCAGCGGCCTCGTCGAAGAACACTTGGGGCCAATCGTATAAGACCTGAGCAAAATGAGAAGAGAAAAGATTGAAAACAAGTCCCCTTGGACGAGCCGAGGCAAGATATTGAAAGCAAAAGAGCCGAACAAAGTAGTCTCGCATCCCTCTCTCTCTGTCTCGTAATAAAAAAAAATAAAGTTCAAATTCGTTTCACTTTTCTTTGCTTACCTTCAAAAGCCATTATTACTCCCTCCCTCATAATCCCATTCCCCTTCGTGTGCAATTATCTACACTTAAGTGAAATTAAAATGAATATAAAATTATCCTCTAATATTCTTCAGTTAAAGTACATTATCTCTACTGTCACGAATCGAATTTTAAGTACACGAAACATATTTTCAAATGTTCCTGGCAAAATTAATGACAATTACTTCCGAAAGTTTTTATGCTAAATAATGTAGAAAGGCGAAAGATTTTTTAAAAAATATAATACAGTAGTAAAGGACAAATTTAGTCAGACGGGAGTTTTTTACAAATAAATTTTAGTAGTATTAGTATTTGAAGTAGTAATGAAAAAATTAAGGCTAAAGTAAGAAACTAGTTTTACACTACTTAAACTTATTTTTTAAAATAAGTTTAAGTAGTGTAAAACTATTTTAGTCAGACAAAAATTTATAAATAGTTTATTTAACACTCAGACTGTTTTAACAAATTTAATACACGATTGAAAAATAAAATATTGGGAAGAATTGTTTTGGGAAAATACTTTTTGTAAACATTTTTTTTTTAAACAATCAAACAATCAACAAGTCAGAAAAAAGACTTGAGAAATAAAATTAAGTAGTGTAGGAAAAGTTTAGTCAGACAAAAACTTAAAAAGTAAATTTAAGTAGAGCAAAAAAAGTATAACCGCACAAAAATTTACGAAGTAAAATTTAAGTAGTGTAGAAAAAGTTTTAGTCATACTCATACTTAAAAAGTAACATTAAGTTGTATATGAAAAGTTTACTCAGACAACAAATTCAAAAATGTGAATTTAAGTAACTAGTGTAGAAAAAGTTTAGTCAGACAAATACTTAAGAAGTAACATTAAGTAGTATAGAAAAGGTAATTTAGACTGACAACAAATTTTAAAAGTAAATTTAAGTAGAACATGAAAAGTTTGGTCAGACAAAAAATTAAGAAGTTACATTAAGTAGTGTAGGAAAAGTTTACTCAGACAATAAATTTAAAAAGTAAATTTAAGTAGTGTAGAAAAAGTTTAGTCAGACAAATACTTAAGAAGTAAATTTAAGTAGTATACATAGAAAAAGTTTAGACTGACCACAAATTTTAAAAGTAAATTTAAGTAGAGCAGGAAAAGTTTAGTTAGACAAAAACTTAAGACGTAAATTTGAGTAGAACAGGAAAAGTTTAACCAGACGAAAACGTAAGATCGATCAAATAAAAGAAGAAAGCAAAACGAATAACAATAACGAGAGAAAAAAATAGTCAAATGAAGTATGTTAGCAA